TCCAACGCTCTTGAACTCTTTACAGATATATATTTTTTTCCTTTTCGTTTTCCAAAGAGATTGTCATTTCGGACTCAACAACAGGCTGTCAGAATCCATCTGGTCCCTACTGAAGTTTCTCCAGAGGCTACAGGTCGCTGTTAACAGTAAGACAAGTGCACCTCTTTCGTGGGAATAAACTGGAAAGATTCTCTCCAGAGGGGAACTGTGAAATTTCATTAAAAAAAAAGGCATCAGTCTAGTTTGGTTCTTTAAAGAACAACCCAAGCAAAAAAACAAAACAAACCCCATCGAAAAGCAGGCCTTCTGTGCAAACCCAGTAAAAACTGTATCAATAACATAACACCCAGGAAATAACTCAAGCTGTCTGGGCAGATGTGGTTTTGTTACCTTTGACAGCACTGAAAACAAAATCCCTGCAGCTCTCCACCCAAACTTCAGAGGAACAAACAGCTGGATTCACTTTGGGCACACAACTTGGGGCGCTCACATGACAGGGCAAACAGTTTACAATGGAGGTTAAAAATGGGATTCCACAAACCAAAAGGAACCCCCTCGGCACACCCCTGAAAAATCCTGCCTTTTCCAAGAGGAAGTGGAAAAGACACATCAGCAAGGATGTGGAGTTCCAGCCTGCTCTCTCCTGGAGGACTGGGTAAAAGAGTCCAGGATACCCCCCAGAGATCAGGGGGCATCCTCTCCCTGTGACCTTCCCTGTATTCTTGTGTGGGACACCACTCGATAGGATAGGGACCTCTTGTATACAACAAGATCTGCAATTTCCCTCACTGGATCAATAAAGTATTAATCTAAAACTCTGCCTAAAGACCTGAGAGCAAGCACGAGAACAAAGAATTCTAAAAATCAATAATCAATGCGCCAATAGTTAGGACTCACAGCACCACGCCGTCATGTCCTGGTGTTCACTGGACAGTCCTAGGATTTGTTCCCACTGGCCACCTGGATGGGCACACATTCGATCCAAGTGTCCGGAGGACGCGAACAGCTTCCGCATTAACACCAGAAGAGAGCCGAATGGAGCGACTGTACCGGTTTTATCTTTTAACAGGGAAAAGAGGCAAAGGGCTTGCTTCAGCAAGATAGCAGGAAGCCTTAACTTTGAACACAACGACAAAAAAAAGGAGATTAAATAATAAAGAAAAAAAAAGAAACGTTTTAAACATTATCATCAAAAAGGTTGCAATTTACCCTACACAGGCAGTGACGTGGTTCTGACATATAATCAGCCTGGTCTTCTGGCGCCCACTATCTTGATAAGCGGTCAGTGAACTGCAGGCAGAAGAAGTGGGAGCTTCTCTTGCACACTGTACAAGCTCACTAGTTCCACTTCTATTAGCCCCAAGCGCTTTGCCTCTCTCCAGGTTAACAGGCAGCACACACTTCGTTTAAACACTGTGCTGCAGACAGTCTTTTCAATTCCAACCTTACGTGAGGGGAGTTTGCAGGCTGGTTATCAAGGGAGTATCCACTTTGCTTCCACCAGAGCGTGCAGCCCAAAAGGCCATTTTCCCCAAAGCTGAAAACTATTCTAATGTAGTCTGGAGTGTTTTTCCGTTTACAGCTAAAACACAACACGTGGACCTAGCGGACAACTGAATGTAAAACAGAGCTGTTATTTCAGGCGATTACTGCAGAGCACGTTTTGAACTGGAAACAGCACAACGCATATGCTGAGAAAGCCAAGGAAGATTGTGGGCCTGGGTCTGATCTAGCAAGGCAGATACCCACAATGCTTGGTGCTGTCCAGTGGAGATTACAAAGAGGCACAGAGCCGTGTTCTGTTAGTTAAGGGGATCCCTTGCTAACAATCTCCTTTGCTCTCTCTTGTTTCGGTCCAGCGTGCGGCCATGGCTTGTGCACTCTCTGCCCAGGAGGGCGGCGATGCCACGCGCAGACAAGCCCCCTCTTAAGGGCATGGCTTGGGGGCCCCAGGGTGCTGTAGTTAACAAGAACGAAATGCTAGCGACGCACGGGTAGGGCATGTTGCAGTACGGCATTCTCCAACATCTCAGACGTGCTGAGCTTCAACAGCTGCTCCCTGTGACTGACTTACTCCCTCTGCTGCGACTGAACTCTGCTTCTACAGTACGTGCCGAGATTTCACTCTCGCGGTAAGTGAGGGGTGGCTTACTTTTGGTGGGGGGAGAGAGCACGCGAACTGTGTCCATTGCTCTCTCCGGTACAAAACGCAGCAGGCCAGGGCTCGTGTGGAAGAGAGCCCTTCACAGCAGGGGACAGATAATTGCACGCCCCCTGCCGAATAACAGGCAAGAGTGGTGGACTGCAGAGGAACGAGCTGAGGTATATTCTGCACTGAAAGGTAAAACAGATGAGGATGAAACATTTCGGCTATGAAGCCTCTTCACCAAAAGGCAGCTCTGCAGCTGAGCTTGGGTTTCTGTCCTTTAACCGCTACCTGTTCCTGGGCAGCTCTGCCTGGACTCTGATTCTACACCGACGTTCCATTTCTAGCAGTTATAACATGTAAAAGTTCAGATAGCTATGAAATTTAAGTCACCAGTTAAAAAAAAAAAAAGTGTTCAAAGAACTGCAGAAATTCTCAAGAGGCCTGACTGTCCTCAAGCTGGACGGAGCCCCCAGGGCACGTCCGGCTCTGGATAGTCTGTACAAAGATGTGGGCAAACTTCCATTACAAGAGGAGAGGGGTATAAGTGAGGCGCCCCCTGCTGGCAGCCCCTGACAGGTCCAGGACTCAGCAGGACGCCCCGTGAGTCCAGCCTGACCGGGCGGGGGAGGCTCGGGAACAGCCCTTCCAGAAAGATCCGAGCAGCGAACACCACTCGTCTGTAATCCCTGCTCTCAGGCTCTGACTGCTCAGGCCTAAAATAAAGAAATGGGAAGTGATTGAAGATCCTTTAATTATTAAACGACCCAATTCTGAGAAACCCAAGTTTCTCATTTCTATCCCCTACATTCTATTTTGAATAACGGTATCAGCTAAGCAATTCACTTTTCTCACTAACAAAGTTACTGCAATGTCAAAATGGGCAACCTGAACAGAAACCACAAAACCTTTTTTTTTAAAAAAAAAGCCAAAACAAAACCCCTCAAGAGGAAGAAGAATGATACTACAAGTCATGACAATGGTGTGTAAAATAATGGATTTTTAATGATTTCTGCAGACAATGGAAAAGGTAAATGTGTAGGTAGTTTGGATTTGGAGTGCAAATGTGACTGCGGATTGTCCACCCACTGAAAGATGGCGAGAGAGTGTAACTACAGGACACCCTCCTCCGTCCACCAGTCTTGTTCATCCCCTGCTGACGCGCTGCGAGCCTAGACCCACATTCAACAGACAGGGAGCGTGTCGGCACAGAGCAGGGAGGGACGTGCGGTTCCGAAAGCCAGCCAGCAGGGGGAGCCCTCACTCCACAGGAAACACCATTCAAGCTAGTGGTCACTTCCATTCAAAAAACCGTACCAACAGGGCATGCCCATGAGCACGGACACGAGCGTACAAACGCAGAACACGGTTTGTAAGGATTATCCAAGGCTGGCTCAAGGATGAGTGCCGTCTTTTTTTTTGCATTTGTAGCTGAAGATCCGGGTGGCTGTGCTTGCAGCTCAGGACTTAAGTTTCATTTTAAACATGTGAAGAAAAACGTATTCTATAACAAATATTGTAATACAGAGGGAATGCTTTTACATCGTTTAGGACACCTTGCATCAGTGATGTAATAATATGATGTTCTTGCAACAGGGTTACACAGCAGCCTAAAGAATTACAGAAACATAAAATAGCTGTCAGAAAAAAAAAAATCTAATGTCAAAATAGATAAGCCTTTCAAAGATAAGCAGAGTAATTTTTTAGCCAGTCCGATTGTGAGAGGATGAAATCGTAATTTCCACCTGATGCCTATGAACTTAATCAGACTTGGGAGGGGACTGTAAAGATCTGTGCAATTCTCTGCAAGAAATTTCTCGCACTCCAGGAAAGAACAGCTGGACCAGATAGCCGAATCCTGAGGCCTCTTGACCACTGTATAGGATGGAGGACGATCAGAGCACAAGATGGGTCAGCCAGACATGGAGAACGCCCACAGACTGTGTCCTCGTATTTTACAATCTAATGAACAGCCATGGCGTTTCAGATTTGCCGACATCCCGAAAAAAAATCAATGAAAACAGGATGGATCCCCCCCCCCAGACCAAACTGATACCACTGTCCTTGGCAGTTACATGAAAACAGGCACACAGACTATTGTTCACAACAACCTGGGATTTGGACAGCTGTCCACCGATAGGCCACCGTTTACAGCCTGTCCCGTCTGCCTTCTCCAGCTTATTAAAACACGACGGTGCCGTCACAAGAGCAGCCTGGGGACAGGCCGAGTCTCAAGAACCTGCGTTTCGGAGGTCGTGCTTCACACTCGTCCTCAGAGCGAGGGAGGGAAACCTCTCTGAAGCACAGCCCTTTCCCTACCACTGGGAGCTGAGCACAAAGCTGCCAATGAGCTAAGACAATACTGACGATTAACAGCCATCGCGAACAGCTCACGCAGTGGGGGAGAAAAAAAAAAACAACAGAAAAAGATTCCGACGTTTGTTAAAGCACTTATTCAAGTCTCTGTGTACTGCTCGCTCATGCTGTTCGGGATTAACGCCATCACTGCCTGCCCCACCCTGGTGCAGGCCTGAGCGGACGCGATTTCTAGACCGGGAGTATCAGGCCAGGAGAGACGAGATGAGCTTATACGGCCTACAGGAGATATAAAAAGAGGAGCTCAAAACCCAAAACGTGTTTTGATAAGCTGGAGAGAGAGAGAGAGAGCTCGTCAGCGGTGGGAGACGTTACAACTGTGAGAAGACCAGATGCGACACAGGACGAGGACCTTGTGGCACGC